TATATATATATTTAAATTATAATATTATTTATTGATTCTTTTACGTGTAATAAGCTAATTGCATCGAGTCTGATTGTAAGCGAATATATTTATGAAATAGTTAGGAATCGGTCGCTCTATCCTTCGCCATTTTAATTCGTGATTATTATTGTATTTTATGTTTTTAACGATAGATTGAACGATACATAGTATTTCACGTCGTTTTATGTTAATCAAAAGACGAATTGTATTCTATTGTATTTTATTTTATTTTATTTTATTTTATTTAGTTTATATGAATGTACATACATACATACGTTGGTAAAGGGCATTGCCACTTCATAAGGTAATTAAGTATTTATATATATATTATATATATATAAGTCATTATTAAATATAATTATTATATTTGTACGATATATCTTAAGACAACCACCCCTAATGAAAACATTCATAACAAGTGTGTGATAATATTTGTAAAACTTGGTACCCAATAAATAATCTTATGTTCTTTATAAAAAAAGAAAAAGAAAGAAAGAAAGAGAGAGGGAGAGAGAAAAATATGAAAAAAAACAAACAAGAAAATAACAAACCTAATACTTCCGCAATATAAATTTGTTATAAAGGTAATAAATAATAGTGGAAATCGTATGTAAAACTATCATCGAAGATAAATTTATGACAAATAGTGAAGAAATTTGAATTTTCCCGGAATTTTGTGAAGAGCGCTGAAGATAGCGCCACCGTCGACCGATCTTGTTTTCATCGCCATCTGACATCTGAGTTATCAATCGAGTGCATTTAACAATAGATAGAGCCACGAGTAGGTAGTGTGTGTTTAAAAAGGAAGAAAAAAAAAACAAAAGAAATCGCAAAGGACAACAATATACATGGCCGGGAGTGCGGTGAAAATCGGTGAAATGGTGGAGTTGTTGTGGTGTGGGTATATTTAGAAATCGGGTGAGTACTTTTCTCTTTTAACGATAGAAAAAATCATTTCTCATTTATGACAATTAATTTATATTTTTAACGCGGGGGTTATACGCCATCGTTATTGTTGTATTGAATCGAACAACCGATTGTTTTTCTTTTTTTTCTCTTTTTTTTTTCTACCTTACGTTCCTTCGATTATATACCACAGAATTAAAGAACGAAATGAAATAAAGGAAGAAAGAAAAGAAAGAAAGAAAGAAAGAAAGAGAGGATGAATAGATTAGGAAAGAGAGAAAGAAATGTTTTACGGAGTCCACTAGGTGTCTCTCTTACAAATTTTATGTAAATCTCATTTGACGAAGGTGCGCGAGGAGTATGTTGATACGTTCGAACGATGCCTTGGGTATCATTATGGCGATCAAAATATTCCATATATACATATATGTTATATATTCAATTCGCATTTCTTTATTTCCATCGTCGTACAAATTGTAACTATCGATCATAACCTAGAATAACACGGCGCGTGACTTCACGAATTATTTCGCGTATAACACGCGTCGATCGTGCGTGACAGATACATAATAAATATGACATACATACATACATACACATATGTGTTAATAAATATATATATATATATATATATATAGACACATACGTACAAATATATATTAATGTCCTTATATACATATTACATTCAATGTATTTTTATTAAAGAACGCATATATTATACAAGTACACACATACACATGTGTGTATATGTAAAAAAATATACGGTCAACGTGCTCTCTTCCTCTCTCTCTCTCTCTCTCTCTTTCTCGTATCCAGTTAGTAGATTTCATTTTATTCTCTAAAATGTACGTCCGATGGCCACACGTTTAACTTTTAATTCGTCTCTATTCTCGACTAAAGAGAAAACGAGCAATGGACGCTCGTAATATTTATAGTTGCCCGTATTTTCGATGCTTTCGTGCTTCGTTACGTGCCGTGGATTTACATCTTATTTCCGCTTGGATTACTTTGAATAAATACCTATTTGCTCTCGTTATTCTTTTGTCTCTCTTCTCTCTTGGTTTTATTTTTGTTTTAATTATTTTTCTTCCTTCTTTTTTTTCTGTTGTTTTTGAAAAAATTTCTTTTTCTCCATTTCATTTTTATTTCCACCAGAGAAGAGAGAGAGAGAGAGAGAGAGAGAGAGAGAGAGAGAGAAATTTAAATAAATTAATTTAAATATTATACGAATATATATGTTCTTTCCTCTGTTAAAACTTTTCATACGATAACCATAAAACGTTTGACATTTTCGATAGAAAATTAATTCGATAAATTGTTTGTTATATTCTTTGTCCTTTTTATTCGTTGTTTTTTGTCTACTTTTGCTATGTATTTTATATTATTCAAATGATTGTGGTATACACATTTTAGAATAGGTAACGGATAAAATTGAGACATTTAGATTAATCAATAAATCAAATAACGTATAATATTATTTCATGATTTATTGTTATGGGTATCAAATAATTTCGATGTAAATTTAAAATGACGAAATTTCATTTACTTTAACTTATTGATTTATTCAACTGTTTTAATTACCGATACAATTAAAATACAGAAGAACATAAAGAGAGAGAGAGAGAGAGATAAATAAGAGGATAGATATAAGAATATTAATTTACTTATCATTTTTCGTATTTAATTTCATTACCTTGAAGTTAAGATGTTGAAACCCATCGATCGACCGGTTGAAAATCGTCTAATTTTAGTTAAAACATTGTAGGAAGGAGTTGCGTGTAGCTTATCAAAGATTTTATCCGATCAAAGATTTGACGGAACCATTTTGGAATTGGCATTGTCCGCCATTGAATCGATAAATTTTCCGAAATTAGGATCGTCACGAATGACTTCGAATATATAAACCCGTATACGAATGAGATTATTTTGTTATCTCGTTTTGGTTTCTCCCGTTTTTATTCGAAAGAAAAAAGAAATTGTTTGTTTTTGTTCATTCTCATCGATCGTACAATAAAATACGTTTCTTCTCCTCGTTAATATCATCGCGGAGACGACACCACCACTATCTAGATTTACTTCCATTTATTATTAGACGAAAGAAAACAGCTGCCTAAGCTAACTTCAAGCTTGTCCTTGCTGCGGATCATAATTACTTGCTTAACTTATACAACTTAAACTATCAACTTTTGTGTGTTATCTTTAAACATTTAGTTTATGTTAGATATTACAAATAAACTAACAACGTTTCTTTTATTATTATTCTTTTTTAAATTATATTATATAAATTAAACAAATAATATCGTTCAATTAATTAATAATTCATTTCATACGCGACACGAATCTTCATAAATAAATAAAACAATAAGTATTAGAACAAATCCTATAATCGCGTTCAGATTTATTATTATTATTATTATCACAACAAACATATATAAAACCAATCATAGATCCGAATAAAATTTCAATGAAAAATCATACATTGTAAATATATTTTGTAAACGCGCGTGCGCATGCTTTTATGTTTTTCTTTTTTTTTTTTTTAGAATTTTTCTTAAATCTCCAATAGAAAAATCCCGAGAATCGAAAAAGAAAGAAGAAATATCTACTAGGGAAAGTAGTTTGATTGTCTTCTCGATCGATACGAGTTTTCGAAGGAACGCATATCCAACCCCTCCTCCTCCTCCTCCTCCTCTTCATCCAACCTTCTGTCTCCATCTCTTTCTTATTCACTTTGTCATCCGACTTTTTAGATGTTCAACCCTCAAGCCCGAATTTCCACGACGGCTTTTACCATCCTCTTTTCCTCTTCCCTCTCTCTGTCTCTCTCTCTCTCTCTCTTTCTCTTTCTTTCTTTACCTATCCCTCGTCCTACTTCCCTCCTCTCCGCCATGATTCAGCCTCTATTGATTGCTCTACCGCACTACTGCCCTACTTTTATGGTTCAGCCTCCTCCTCACCACCACCACCACCCCCTTTTCACCCCCCACCCCTCTTTCTCTCACTCCCTCTCTTTCTCTGTCTTGCTTTCTCTCTCTCTCTCTCTCTCTCTCTCTCTTTAGTTATACTACTTCCCTCTCTACTTCCATCTACCACCCCTTTTTCTTCTTCAGGAGCATAGACGCGCAGGAGTCGTAGAGAGGATAAACTCTCTCTTTTTTCTTTCTCTCTCTCTTTCTCTTTCTCTCTTTTTCTTGGTCTTAATATAACAAAGAGA